ATACGAACGACTAGTTACAAAGACGAAAAACACTGTAACGTTTACATACCTTACAGATGTTATGGTGATTAGTTAATATGTTTCAACAAAAAATTGCTTGCTGTGAACTATTCAAACGAGAAGTGGTATTAGATCACTTGATTATGATGCGATCATGATGCGATCATGTTTCACAATTCAAAAAAGTTAAAGTAGTTCTATTCCACCTTGCCTCATAAACGGTCATCTGGAATTTATAACGCGTTTATATCAGATATGATTGTAGTATTTAAAATGGGTTTATTCCAAATATGATTACAGTATTTAAAAAAACATTTATTCCAGATATGATCACAATATATAAAATGTGTTTATTCCAGATATAATTACAATATATAAAAAGTGTTTATTCCAGATATAATTACAATATATAAAATGTATTTATTCCAGATATAATTACAATATATAAAATGTGTTTATTCCAGATATGATTACAATATTTAAAATGTGTTTATTCCAGATATAATTACAATATTTAAAATGTGTTTATTACAGATATGATTACAATATTTAAAATGTGTTTATTCCAGATATGATTGCAGTATTTAAGCTGTGTTTATTTCAGATATGATTACAATATTTAAGATGTGTTTATTCCAGATATGATCACAATATTTAAAATGTTTTTATACCAGATATGATTACAATATTTAAAATGTGTTTATACCAGATAAGATTACAATATTTAAAATGTAAGACTACTAGACAAGTTGTTGATTGATATCTCGTGTAATAGAAGGATCATTATTCCTCATGCCATCTGCTGTCATCGTCGCGTGTCTCCAGTCTTTGATTGATTGATAATTGATCTTGAAATAGACAGAACAAATCAGTGGGTAATTAAATCTAGGTAACCCTGTAGGCGTAGGGATACTCAACACATCGTCATGTTCCTCCGAACCAGGGACTAAGTGAAGAGCGCACAATGGCGCGTTTTGCGTCAATCATGGTTACATAGTTGTTGCACCCTCTCTCAAACTTCATAATTGTTTCATTGCGATTTTCAAATCATATTCAACCATTGTAAATATATCTGTGTCTCAGATATGCTACACATCGACTCTAGGATGTTCCACATAGTCTAACAGTTCTCGGCACCAAGGGAGTGGGGTCGGGGTCCTACTCGCAACGTAGCACGTCTCTCGATAAGAAGCAGTAATAGAACTGTGACCTGTTGATTTCCAGTTCAATTACTGAATGCCATTGAACCGATTTATTATGAGAACAACCGCCAGTGGATCTGGCCCCATCTCACTAACTGAGACACATATCAGACCAAACCAATTAAATACTTTATATTGACATTAATCAAAGAAGTTTACCTACTTTACAGATATACGGGGGGTTGGATGGCCGAATGGTTAGCACGTGCGCGCTGTATCATAAGGTATGTCATTGAATCAACTGGTGTGGTTTCGATTTCCCTGTTGTACGTGACAAGGAGTAGGGTCGCTTGTCCAACCTCGTGGGTTTTCTCCGGGTTCTCCGACTTCCTCCCACTGCTAAAGACCCCTACGCGAAAGCGAATTATTGAAATACAATTGAACCATGTTAGTCCCGAAATGACCTAGTTTGTGTCGAGTGGACATTAAACCCTTTTTCTCTCTTTTTACAGATATACGATAAATTAAACATGTATAACATAAGATTTAGATAAAGACAGCTCTCACTATAATAGTTCAAAATAGATACTGAATAGGGAATATGTTGAAAATTTCAGTACAATTGCTACATCATGTAGTCACGATTCTCAATGCTACCGCTGTTACGATAATAAACAAATTAAATTAAATCATTCACCGAAAATTGTATATAAATCTGTAGAAAAACTAGAGCATCCGATGGCAGTTAATATATGTCTAATCAATAATTTATATAACATTTAAGGCCCAAAGAAAGATCTGCAATATGCATATTTAGCGCTTGCATAATGCATGTTTAATTGTAAGGAAATATGTTTATATGGTTTTTTTATATTTAGAACAGAATAAAACCTATAACCTAGATGTCCATATTGTTTTATTCACCTATTTTAATCAACGACAAGTTTTTCCGGGTTTTTAATGAAATTCTGTGTTAAGATGGCGATCGTGTTAATTTAGACAGGGACATATTTCTTAGTTTGACATCAAACCAGTGCAATAGGTCAAAGCTTGTTCTATCATTAGATTGGGTTGTTTCATGTTTCTTGGTTTCAGTTCTTATAAATCCTCCAGCGACTTGTAAAATAAAGCTTCACATTACCATCTTTAAGTACCTTAAGGTGAACATTTAGCCTAATTATAATAATAAACAACATCGTTCATACAAAATACTGGTCTTAGTTTTGTAGGTAGGTGTGGATCAAAAGTAGAAATAAAAAGAGGTTTTAACGTTCTACATAACTGACCCCGACTTCATTAATCTAGTCTGTGACGTTAAACCCTATTTCATTTCAATTTACTGGCCCAATCTGAATAATGAAGAAGGGTATAGGACATGCAGTGTGCTATGAGGGAAATTTTGCCCGGACAGCGGCGCTACGGCTTACTCTTACATCACATTCCAACTGCCATGGGATCTTTTACGTGCACACCAGTGTGTACATGGGACCTCATTTTGTCAGACCCTCCGTCATACACCACTGGCAGGGGAAAACCAGGCCGGAAAAACTCGATGACCACTTGGATCGAAAACACGACCTCCAGACTATCGATCTAGCGTCTTACTCACTTAGTCACCGGTGCTATGAGGAACATTCCGAACAAAACATCGAATTAAAACAGTCAAAAGGTTTTTTTTAGATATACGCCAAATACTACACAGGTGGACATCGGTTTATCGTTCCATCCGCACAACTATACAACCAGACCCTCCGTCCCACACTTTTAGAAAAATACAAGGAAAGTTCTCACAAAACACCCGCCCGTCAACCCCATCGCAACGAGCTACCATGGCACTGGATGAAAACATATAATTTCGTGAATTTACAAGAGGTTCTCAATGGACTCTTACCATTGAAGATCACATTAAATCGAGCGCATTTTTAGCTCGTTTTATTGTAGATGTGTTATGAACAGAACTGCGTTAAGAAGAAAATAATCTGTGAATTGGCTGAAACAATGAGTTTTAGGTTACTGTCTGGTTTATGTAAACATTGCCAATAAATTTATGCTTTTTTTCATAAATGTCAAGCCCCAAACTTTGAATTTAGAACTTGTTATTTTTAGTGTGGATTAGATCAGATCTTTGTCCGGACGTTTGAATAAACTGCTGTCGTTTTTAAAAGTCAATGACAGTAAACACTTTTATTTTTTTTATACATAACTGTTAAGTCTTGAAGTTAAGTTTTTGTGGGTGCTAATATCCTGCTTAAAGCGACAGTAAGTCTATTCGAGCTAGTATTATGTGTCGACAATACTAATCATACCAATCGTTGAATGTGCATATCAATGAAGTAATTTGTAACAGTGTAAGCTCCAATAATTGCAATATTTTGAATAGCACCGATTGCCTTACTAACTGTAAGAATTAGAGAAATCTGGATATTTGTAAGAGTCAGTAAGTTTGTAGATCACCGTAATATAATATGTTTTAACTTCACATAAAAAAACTGAACATTGTTGATTGTTATAAATTAATAACAATGGTGCTACTTTTACTTTATGAATTAATAACACTATTTCTACTTTTACTTTATAAATTAATAACAATATTGCTACTTTTACTTTTTAAAATAACAATATTGCAGCGTTTACATAATAAATTACTAACAGTATTGCTACTTTTACGTCAAAAATTAATAACAATATTGCTACTTTAATTTATAAATTAATAACACTATTTCTACTTTTACTTCATAAATTAATAATAATATTGCTACTTTTACTTTATAAATTAATAACAATATTTTTACTTTTACTTTAAAAATTAATAACAATATTGCTAGTTTAACTTTAAAAATTAATAACAACATTGTTACTTTAAGGTATGCTTCCACGGCTAATTTGGGTGTCTATAGACAGACTGTTTATGACCCGCACGCGCGACAATATCTATATTGGACCACACGCCATCTCCCAATATACAGACAACAAACAATAGCGCGCGTGATAAAACTTGATGCAAACAATAAACGAAGATTAATTTCAATTTGAGAGGCTGGTCTAGAAGAAGACCATATAATCTGTTCCAAGCCTTATTGTTCGTTAAAACTCTGATATAGTAAACATTTTATATTATTTTATTAAATTGTTTTATAAGAGTGGGTATAACGTTTCGTCAACACGATACTTCGGCCAGGGGTCTGACAAGAAAAATGTCTCTATTCGTTCAGATGGGACGATAAACCGCGATCCACTTGGGTAGGTGCAAGTAAAACAGTCCTTGGCAGCTATTGCAAAAATCCAAATCAATTGAAGCTTGTTAGTTCTGCAAGGACCAAAGTAATGTGTTTCCTCTCTCAACGATTTCAGAAGAGATGGTATCCTTAACCATTTAGATTATGAAGTTGATCAGTCTGATTAAAACGCAGATCCTATTTCGTTTCGTTTTTTATAGTTCAAAATTTCGTTTTACTTGTCTTCACTACACTAGGACATGGAAGAGTTGTTATAAAACTCGCGTTCTGCTTGGTGTGAGAGATTAGCCAATGAAACGGTCTGTTGCAGCGAGGTCTTGGTGTGCGATGCACGGAACTGTGGGTATTCCACTAGAAACATCAACGCTAATTGGTTAATCAAACGTCTGACGCTACCTCCCACTACAAGTGGTAAGATCTTCATATAGTAGAGGCCACCGAAAGTATTAAAAAAAACGAAACGAAATAGAGATCTGTATTTTAATCAGATTGGAAGTTGATTCATTAATGCTTTGTAATTTGCCTCTTCTTGCAGACGAATATTCCCGCCATTTTATTAGGCCTTTCTCTACTTTCAGACGAGTATTTCCCACATTTAAATTATGCCCTTTTCTACTTTCAGACGAATGTTCCCGCCATTTAAAGTGAAAGTATCAGGTTTAGATAAAAAAGCTAAATATATTTTATTGATGGATATTGTGGCTGTTGATGACTGTAGATATAAATTTCACAACAGTAAATGGATGGTAGCGGGAAAAGCTGATCCAGAGATGCCAAAGAGGATGTACATCCATCCAGATTCTCCGAGTACTGGTGAACAATGGATGCAGAAGATCGTCTCCTTCCACAAGCTGAAGCTATCCAACAATATCTCGGATAAACATGGTTTTGTAAGTTATCATTTCGTAAGTTGAAATTTTAAATTTTTTATTTTACTTTATTGATTAAATTAGAATTGTGTTAAATGGGGACAATGCGTTATCGTTCATCGGCTTATCTTGTCGACTTTTGCTCAGCAGATATAAACTGGATCACCAACGATGAAGGTTTCTTGGAATTTTCAAATTTGCCCCCCCCCCCCTTCCCTGTAAGTAGTGCAGAGGTGAGGGCGGCCTGGCGAGCAAAGACGTCTAATCAGTCGGATGGGACAAAAAAAACTAGCTTCACCTTGTTACCCTTTGTCGTGCACGTAGCAGAACCCTTGACAGTTGGAATTCGATGAAATACAGCTGTACAGACCCCAAATTAAGAATTTACTCAAGTTTAAATCACTATTTATGAGAAATATCTTTGATCCAGAAACCCCAAGATTTGCAAATAGTTTCTTATTGATGTATTTGATACATTAAAACAACACAAGTTTTATAAAAGGCTATATTTTAGTTAAAATAAGGCGAATAATTTTGAGTCTGAGAATGCCTTATGATCTCGCGACCAGTTCTTGTATGTAAACTTAAACCTAAATATAAAGATGCGTATAGAGTTAGGTATCTTAATATCTTACCGAGAAACCCCTGCCCTCAAGCAATATATGTAAAGGATATTTAGCAGAAAATATTGAAATTTAAGTTTTTAGCGAACAAAAAATATGAATATAATCAGGATTTAAAAATTATTAAAAAAAAAAAAAAAAAAAAAAAAAAAAAAAAATTCATAAATCTCCACAATCCTAATAAAATATTTCTAAAAAATAGAACCCCGTTCAAATAAGTGCATGTTTCATGGAGCGAGACCACTCGGCGAATTATGAACTTAAAACTCTCCCGGCAAATAATTACCCTCGAAATTAGCAACAAAAGGCCGCACTTACAGTCGACAAAATACACAGGCATCTGATCAGGTTTCCGATACGGGGTCACAAACAACAAAATAAAGTGGGCGTGTCCTGGAATCTTATGTGATTTGACGATAATTTTTAAGATACGATCAGAAATCGTATTAAAGTTAATTTTATAGAACTGGCTCGGTGAACAATGAGTTGTTGAAATTAGAGCAGAAGCAGTGTTCACAAGATTTCTAAATATAATTTTAAATCCAATTATGAATTAACGTAGAAGTGTAAAATCTAATGAAAGGACACCATTTTGAATTTTCAGATCTGAGTAATGTAGCCATTATTTTCTAAGAATCTAAAATATTCAATAAAATAAAACCAAGTACGAACAATCTAAACCATTATAAACGATTCGAAGCCCTAAAAGAAATACGGTATAGGCAAAAATAGTATAATCAGCAAATGGACTGTTCAGTATCAGTTATACTAAAATATTAATTCTTGACCGTTGAAAATGGGTCATCCTTAAAATATTTTAGCTGAAGTCTTTGTACATAAATTTAATGGGTTTAACGTCCTACTTTTTGGCACCAACCGGGTCAATGAGACTAGGCATACGCCATGCAGTATGCTATGAGGGACATTGTGTGGGAGAGCTGGCTTCTTTCCGTCGAATTTTAACTGAAAATCTTTTTTTAAGCTGAACACCAACGTGTTCCGTGGACAAAGTTATATAAGATACTAATGAAATAAAATGGGGTTCAATTTCCTACTCTTCCGCTCCGACTGGGATGATGATGACGATATGTTTCTATGACGTCGTACATTATGCTATAGCAAGATATACAATATTGAAAAACATAACCTGGGATTAATGTCCGCTGCCACCAATATCACAGACAAGAAAGAAAAAAAGTAAAAAAAGTATATTTGAAAAGTTTAACAATTTAAAGCAAAGTCTTGAACAATAATTAAAAGTGATTGGACAAAATGTGAAGATTTCAGGATGTGACGTATAGATTGGTTTTGACGTAATTATGTTTCGAATACTGATTGGATGATGATAAGGCATAAATGGAGGTATGCGTAATCACGAAATCAGGGAATCGGGATATCTCGTGGTATCTGTTAAGCGATTAATCAGATGAAATTGTTGTCTGCGATATGACCGTTATAGAAGCGGATGTCAATCCGCATGTACTTGGTGAAGTTGAACTGATATCAGTGCTGGTGGAAGCCAAGTTCAATTATAAGTTTAACTGAGATACAAACGTCAACAGCCCAGTGTGTTAATCACAACTGAACACAAAAACTGAAAGCTATGCGAATTGTTCATTCATAAAGTTTTGTAAAACTATGTCTTCATATAACTATGTCTATATAATATTATCTTGAAACGTGTGTAAATATATATATATATATATATATATATTGTGTCCTAAAGCGCAATATAAATAAATATTGCACCCTTAACAGGTAATTGTCGATACTTTTGGTCATTTTTTGACTAATAAAAGGTGATGTTTATTACTGTGGTCCCTAATTCATATCCCCACCAGGTGTTATAGGCAAAAAAGCATACCCTGATACTTGTTCTATTTGAACTTGTCTTGAATTCGCCGTCTTGATTAGCCAAGTCGAAGACGAACAGTTAGACGTTAAACCCCATTTTATTTCAGTTCATCTGCCCTAAACCCGTGTTTTATTCATAATCACCGTCTTCATTAGCCCAACCGGAGTAGGACGTTAAACCCCATTTCATTCCTTTTCTGTTTAGAATTTTATTGAAAAAGCTAATGTTTATGCCTTTCGGTGTATGGAGTGCGCCGGAGTTATTCAACAATAGAATATTGTCCTATGTTTAGATTTATTAGATAAAACAAGTTGTCCACGACGCGTCAGTAGTAACAGTGCGATGCTTGTGATTAATAATAAAATGTCTATACAACTTACTCCAGGGAATATAATCGCATAAGAAATCTCAGCTACTCATTAATTTATCGATCACCATATTGTTGAAATACAACGGTTCTATGTACGTGAACAAAGTTTATAAAATAATCAATGTCTATGATTTATATGAGCTTCCCAACTACACAAGAAGTGGTACCGGGATATTCTTTAAAATAGTGAACGCATAACCTGTCTCGTGCACGCCATAAACTGATATAATTCAGTTGGTAACATTTTATTCTTTTGAATTTTTGCGGTTAAATTTGTTCAGTATTTGTTGTGAAAATACGGTTTGGTTTTGAAAGTAAAGTTGTCTGTTGGCTGTTTTGTGTTTAGTTCCCCTTGTCAGTAATGCAGAGCGGAGGGCCTGACAAGGACAGCTGTCTAGTCGTTCGGATGTGACGAAAAACCGAGGTCCCGTGTACACATTAGCGTGCACGTAAAAGATCCCTTGACAATTGGAATTTGATATAAGAGTAGACCGTAGTGCCGCTGTCCGGGCAAAATTTCCCTCATAGCACACTGTATGGCGTATGCCCGTCTTCATTAGCCCAGCTCGGTGTAGAACAGTAGGACGTTAAACCCCATTTCATTTCATTTCACTTTGTGTTTAACATCTGCTTCCACAATAAGTGATATCGCAGACAACTATGGAAAGTGATACCCGATAGTTATTTACAACTGGACTAGTAGATATTTGATTGCAGCTGGCCCGCGCACATGCTCTCTTGTCCGAAAATACGAAAGTGCGGGTGATACTTTCAACATTGTAACTGTTAGAATTTCTTTGTTAACTGGCCAGTTTCTCTCTTGTTAGTGTATTTGCAGACAAACGACTAATTTTTAACCAGGGGCTTTTTAATGATATCAATATTGGTTTATATATAACGGGAAAACTCATAATTTAGTTCATCGCAAAGGTGTTTTATTAATGAACAGATGATTAGTATATGGAATCTGCAGAAAAAAATGTTGGATTTTTCTATTCTTTTATTCATGAAAGGAAATGAAATTTAGATTAATCAAAACGGACGTTTATTTATAATTATTTATTTTTTTAAAAAATAAATCATATTTTGTTGAAGTTGATCTTCGACATAAAAATATTGTATGCCCTGGACAAACACTGCCAGGTTAAAACTGGATGTGGAAATTTGAACAATATACCTGAAAGGGATTAACCTATTGGGCTATTTTCTGAATTTCAGACTATATTGAATTCTATGCATAAATATCAACCCCGGTTCCATCTAGTCCGTACTGATGATATATTGAAGTTACCGTACAGTCCATTCCGTACCTTTGTATTTAAGGAGATGGAATTTATAGCAGTCACAGCTTACCAAAACGAAAAGGTAAGTTCAAAATATATATAAACTTAATCTTTTTGGTCATAAGCAATTAAATATATTCATTTAATTACTTTAAAGATGCTATATTTCAGACTAAAGGCATTTCAGGGTCAAAAGGGTTAATCGATAATCCTAACATAAATTATGTTTTACAGTTGCCATTATTTTCTGCGGAAATGAAATCAAATGGGGTTTAACGTCCTACTTGTCTGCCCCGAATGGGATAACGAAAACCAGCATACGTCATGCGCAACAGCCTACTCGTATAGGGTTATTTACGTGCTCGCCAATAGGTGCACGGGACCTCGGTTAGTCGACCCATCCTGCATCACTGGTAAGGGGAAACCACGCCGGAAAATTACAATGAATGTTCTCGGCCAACACGGTATTTCCATGTTAACGAGCCTTCATCTTATTCGCCGAGTCACCGCAGCTCCCCCGTTTTCTGCGTATTTCTCAACAAGTTGCATTTTGCTCTTTTATACTCGGTAGTTGAACTCATCATTATCCAAGAACAATGAGATCCGTTTTTTTAGTTATCATTCCATATATATTTTTTGACATTAATATCATTCCATATATTTTATAAAATTATATTGTTTAAAATTCAAATCAATTAAAGAATAAGTATGGAAAGGAAAGTTGTGAATTGTCTCTTGCCTAACAATACTGCAGTTCTATAATTAAGTAGCCTCGTTTATTTTATTTCATAGATCACGCAGCTAAAAATAGACCACAACCCATTTGCTAAGGGCTTTCGGGACACCGGTGGAGGAAAGAGAGAGAAAAAGTAAGCAGACTTAAAATAATCTTAGCGCGAATTCGTTTCGTGTAATAATATTTTTAAAGCCGCCGACCGTCCTTATTCAAACAACAATTTTGTGAAAGTTGAATCCCTGAAAGGAATATCAATTCAAAAATGGTTCAATTCCTTTCAGAATTTACAGAATTCAAGCCCGGGTATTATCTACCACTGATAATTGTTAATTAAGTCATTTGAAATACAGTTTAGCTCAGATTAAGCCGTGAAATCAATTTCATATTCACAAGTTATTATTTGCAAAATATTGCCCAAAAACGCACGATCAGCGGCTTTGAAGTTGTCCGATTTACAATCAACAATTGTACGATTTACAATTAAAAATTGTCAGATTTACCATTAAAAATTGTCAGATTTACAATTAACAATATAGTCAGATTTTTACAATATTAATAATATAGTCAGATTTACAATATTAACAATGGTCAGATTTACTATAACAACGGTCAGATTTACTATTAATTGTCATATTTTCAAATGAGCAAAAAAGAACATAATATTTTTTGAAGTCGATTGGCCACAAACCCCTAACTTGTGAATAGAAATTCTTTGGAACAGCTTCGATCTTTTATGTTGTGAAAAATTGTTTTTGAAATGAAATGGGGTTTATTTTCCTAAAATGATGTTTAGCGTCTAACTTTCTGAACCAACCGGGAGAATGAAGACCGGTATTTTACATGCACGCATGGTTATTTTACATGCACGCATGGCCGATTGTGCGTCCCAATACTGTTCCTTGCCTGGACAAGGGGGAACTGCACCGGAAAGGGCAGTGTTTGACCAAAGATAGAATTAAAAAGACTGCTAAATGGTTTGTCGTCTGATTTGATCACAAAAACTGGAACACCTACGTAAATTTAATCGCATTTGTTGATTTTAGGAGACCCTGTTTTATGGCGCCAACAAGCACGTGCCATACGGGAAGTGTTGATAACGTGCACGGAAGAACAACACCCTCTATGATTGATCAAGAGGAGACAATCTGTGTTGTCGGGGATGATGGTGACGACAGCGATGCTGACAACCAAATTGAAGGTAATCACCATTTTGTTTACGTCTTAATTGAGTGTCTCTGTCTGAAATGAACATTAAATCTGACGGTCATAATTAAACGCCATTAAAATATTATTAAGCCACGAAAACAATCAGGGTTCGCTATTTTCTAGTTTTGACTTTTGAAACCGGAGGTGAGTCATGATCACTAAAGGGTATCATTATTTCACTTGACTGGCAATTTTGGGGCTGGTTGTATCTGACTAATGAGCCTCGTTGTTATAATCAACGTGTTATCATTCGGTACACACCGTATATTATCGCCTCATTACTGTGATTTCTGTATCATAATTTAGTTTTAATTTACTTTCCTGTAAATACCACCATACAGAGACTGCGTTTATGAATTAACATTTCTGCGAAACCGCGCATAAAACTAGGCAATTGCAGAAATGAAATATGTTACGGTCAGCATAATGGCCGCCAAGGGAGTCACCAGTCCAAATGTTAAATAGAGATCAGACAAGTGAACATGTATATTCATACGCCGTAAAGTAGTTTCACCACACGTATTCAACCGTCGTTAAACAGGGGCGGTCACTACTATCCCCACTCCAGGAATAATATAGAATATCATGTCTAAAAATACCTTTAATAAAATTCTAAACATATATCTCAGCCTTGGCTTGTCAGACATTTCAAATTTACATTCAGTCTAATTTATTCCATATTCTATATAACTGTATATCCAATCACGTCAAATCAAAATTTGAATTTTTGACCAATCGACGACGTTCCACATCGGTGAAACGCGTTTACCCTGTAGTAAACAAAGTGGCTGAATAGAACTTTTTATTTAATTATAACAGCTGCGTTTTTTCTTTCTGTTTACAGTGAGCTCGTCAACTTGTGAAAATGATGAAGAATTTGTTCCTGACGACAGAAGTACATCATCTAAAGTAAACGTTGAAATATCTTCTGGCGGCAAATATTGCCAATCAACGACCGAACAATCCAAGATGTCGGTCCTTGTTGACGAGCAGCCTGGCACCAATTTATCGGAACGCTTGTCACCATCTCTCAAGACATCCACTTACAGCCCTGTCTCTACTTCAAAACCAGAGAGTTCAAAGTTCACGAAATCGACAAAACTTTCATTTCCGGTGAGCGCCATGTTATCCGACGATAAAACTCAAAGTGTTAATAGTGAGATATCGAAATATTACCCAGTACCCTCTCTGATGGATTACAATAATCACATGACCCAGTTCCAGTCAGCCATTAGTCAAAACGCGTTGCTAAGCAGTCACCTATCTTTTCTGAGTTCGTTACACCAGAGTTACAATGGATTGAACATGTTTGGAGAGAGTCCTTCTCTTCCGATGAACTATTCCGCACATTTCAATCCATACGCGTTAAAAAACAATCGCTTCAGTCCTTATCCGTATCCAAATTCTACTTTAAGATCCTGTGAACTTTTGAAAACTTCTTCCGATCAGAATGACACTAGTGAATCCGGGTTTCCGAAAGCAAAAACGGAACGAATTAAATCACTGAGAGTCAGTGATGAAAACGGAAGTGAACTGAAAAATATGGAAAAAATGTTATCCGGTTTATCTAAATCTCGTCTTCCATCCAATGAGTGCGAGACGAAGAAGTGACGTAAATTTGAAACGATGGGAAGTGACGTGTATATATATAATTCGTGACGTGTAATAGTTATAATAAATTTGTATATTGTGTTGTATAAACGGAGTAAAACGTGTATTGAAAAGTGCAATCTATTTTAGTTTTCTACATGTTATTTATTTTACATTATTGATGGTGGAATGGGGACATGATAACTCGTTCCGAATCCATCAAATCGCGATATAAACTTTACACCCCAGCTATAAACTTTTACTAAGCGTGTAGGACGAGCTCAATTGTTTCGCCTGAATATTCCGAATTGTTGTAATCAATCGAGTGACGCGGAATTGAGGCCTATTATGGTTCTGAACAGTTCTGAAAACGGAAGTGGAGTGAGAGTGAGAGGAATCACGACCTATTCGCAAATGCCAGTTACAGGGTTGGGGCGAGATCATGGTCAGTTTGCGCATGCCCTGTGGACTCTTGTTTGGTTGAATGACTCCTTCCGGGCAAGTTATTTCAATAAATGACAATTTTGTGCTGCACCAATGATATTATTTGTTAAATTTATATTAAATATGATACAGTAAATGTGTATTTATTGAAGTCATGCAGATAAAACTGTTCAAATATTTTTTTGTTTTTCTTTCCTCACCGCTAACTTTTCGTTTTGCAATGTCCTCAGGCCCGAATCACGCGAGACTATCAGTCCGTGGTAGCCACCCTTACCCAGTGATCACAACACTGTTTTCTTTCATAACCCCTGCCTTCTCTCACCGTCGGAAATTTGCAAAGGGGTAGCCCGTTTTATCACAAGGTCTGCCAATGAGTCATCAAGCGTGGTTTCGATTCCCCAGCTGTACGTGACAAGAAGTAGGTCCGCCTGTCCAACCTCGTGGGCTTTCTCCGGGTCCTCCAGTTTCTCCCACTGCTAAAGACCCCTACGTGGAAGCGATTATTGAAATTAAATTGAACCATGTGTCGGTCCTGAAATGACCTAGTTTGTGTCGATTGGGCGTTAAACCCCATTTCTGTCTCTCTTTCTATTTTGCAATGTCCCAGCCCCGAATCACGCGAGATTATCAGTCCGTAGTAACCACCACCCTTACCCAATGATCACACCATTGTTCGTTTTCATAGCCCCTTCCTCCTCTCAAACAAGAATCTTGTGAAGTTAAACCACCGTCGGAAATTTACAAATGACAAAGAACTTTCTTATATTTGGCTCCCGAATCCCCTGAGGTCAGCAGGCTTGGATGGCTGAATGGTTAGCACGTGCACGCTGTGTCATAAGGTCTGTCATTGAGCCAGTGGGCGTGGTTTCGATTACCCAGTAATACGTAAAAAGGAGTAGGCCAGGTTCGCCTGTCCAAACGCGTGGGTTTTCTCCGGGTCCTCCGGTTTCCTCCCAATGCTAAAGACCCCTACGGGCAAAGGAATTGTTGCAATAAGATTGAACCATATGTTAGTCTCGAAATGACCTAGTTTGTGTCCAGTGGACGTAAACCCCATCTCTCTCTCTTGGTTACAAACTGTAATCTTGTGCTGTGCCAATACTCTTATGGATCGTCAAGGTTACATAGCTAAATATATATTTGTTGATTCATTCTATTTACATACATGAATCCACTATATTAATGATTATTTCACTGAAAGGAATATAACTTCTTATTTATCATTTGCAATATTCTCATCAATTAATATTTTATAAGTTGTTAGAACTTTTGTGAAATGTCGATGGTAAATACGGTCATTATAATGAGGTTTAATGTCCAACTGTTCCGGACCAACTGGACAAGGGGAGAGAGAGAGAGAAATGGGGTTTAACGACCACTCGACACAAACTAAGTCATTTCGGGACTAACATATGGTTAAATTTTATTTCAATAAATCGCTTGCGCGTAGGGGAATTTAGCAGTGGGAGGAACTCGGAGGACCCGGAGAAAACCAAGGAGGTTGGACAGGCGACCCTACTCCTTGTCACGTACAAGCAGGGAATCGAAACCACGCCACTTGCGCATTGACAGATCGTCTGATACAATCCGCGCGCGTTTACCATTCGTCCCTCCCGGAAAAACAAAGACGGGTATATACGCTATGAGACAAAATTTATACGTACATCGACCTTAAAATATAGCTTTATAAACGATATTTTCTAATTGTAATATTAAAACGTTATTTCAACAATCGAGTTTGTAAACAAAAAATAACACTCATAATAAAGTCGGAAAATCGTCATAACCATATATACAATATTATACAAATCAGAATAATAAAAAAACCCACAAAAAACATCTTTACAAGTTGGTCAAGGGTATTTGTGACACATATCCCAAATATTTTCTATATGTT